TATCCCCCTTACATCCAAAAAACAAATGAGCATTGGTTTTGGGGGGGGTACCCCCTCATAGGTATGAGTTTTCACCAAGGTTCACAGATATGTGACCACACAAAGTATGTTTTTCACAATGAAAGAATTATGGAAAAATTGTTATTTATATATCAGAATCAATTAACATAGTAGTTAAAATGTGATAACCTTGGTACTTCATGTCACAATTTATAGATAAAAGCAATAGCTGAAACGTGTAAGGGGCTTCAAAGAGTTTGTGGAAATGAGACAGTTAAAAGATAATGAAATTTCTCTACATGTTTTTTGAAGCCCCCTTGCATGAAAAAATACTAACTACAAGTTTTATGCATGAATATCACAGCATTATACTCTTAAAATGTTTAAAACGGCAACACTTTCTTAAATGTATTTTACCCCAATAACAGGGGAATAAACAACTCAGAAAGTGATAAGGGATCACTGTGGGTCAGAATTGACTCGATGGCAGTGAGTTATAGAAGTTATGTGTATGATATAGACATACACACATATTGTGTGCATACATGTATACACGTGTGCATATTGTTTAATTTAATATATTTTATTTTCCATGAGATGCTTTAGAGTAGCTTGCCACAAAACTGCTAGCCTTATGTAATATCACTTAAAGTTTTGGATGCTCATTCCTATATATTATTCAACACATTTGTAGTTTTGTGACTGTATATGCCCACTCTTCACTTATCAACATAGTTAGGTCCCAAAGGCCAGATTTAGTGAAAACATAAGAGTGGCTACATGAAATCACAAAAATGGAAGATGGCCATGTCATTCCGTAGCTGTCATATTACATCATTCCATACTACTAAACCACTGAAAATCATGGCTGATCCAAAGTGACCCATGACCTTAACCCCTACAGTCAGCGTTACCCTTGCCTTGCATCTCAGCGTTCACACTGCCTGACGTACGCTGTTAAAGCACAAAATATCTGGCAGTAGATTTTTGCATTGTCATGAATGTTTGGACAACAAGATAAATGGTATGTTTGTGGCAAATAACTGTTTGGCCAATGCAGGCATACTTTTCAACCATTCTAATTTGAGCAATATGCATATGTGAATTTAGTCACAACCTTCCCTTCATAAAGAGTATCCATCTGTGCTGTATCAGGGAATATGGTCACCTTTTTAGGATCTAGTTCAAGAAGCAAAGGATAGTTGTCCTAAAAACGATTATTAGAAAAAGAAATCCTAAATTGTTGAGGTAAGGTGTACATTTTAAGAAATCCGTTTAGGGTTATAGAAGAGTTAGGGTTTATAGTGCTTCTGACAAGTCAATCTCTGTGTCTGTCCATCTTGTACATCCTTGATGTTCAGGGATCTCTTTGTTAATATTTTTTCATCTGTGAGGATAACATTATGGTGCTCTTTAGTTCAAAGACACTCAAGTTCTTGTGAGCTGTGTAGTTGGCTACTCTTTAACACTACTACCTTGGGTGTGATGAATGTGTCACAGATCTCTCAGGAAAATGTTACAAGGAATAACCAAATACCATCCTGTACATCGTTAGTCAGGACGTGCTTTCTATCTCATTCATTCAGCAAATGCACACTGGGTTTCTGAGATATTTGCTTAGAACTAAGTGTATGAAGAGAAAAACAGTGTTTGTGCAAAAAGAGCTTAAATACAGTGAGGGAAATACGGTGACCCAGTGACCCCAAATGACCCCAAATATGGGATGAAAAGTATATCACCTTTTTATTCATTTACTCAATACATTTATTGAGAACTTAATAATATTGTGCTGGACATTATTCCAAGTATTGGGATACAACAGGAAACAAATAAGGTCCTTTCACTAATAGAATTTTCATTCTCTTAGGAGACAGGCAATAAGCAAAGATGTAATGTTTAGTACCATGTGGAGAACTAAAATCTCGAGCTAGTAAGTGACTGTGTGGCTACTTAAGTTTGGGTGGTCAGTGGTCACTCCTTTAGCAGGCGATTTAAGCCTTGTTTTGACAGAGTTGAAGTCGACTCAACAGCAGTTGGTTTGATTTGGTCTTCTGAAAATTAAGAAGTAGGCAGCACTATAAAGCTCAGAGGAAGTATATTTTGGGGCATAAGGAAGACTAGTTGTCAAAGGCCCAAAGATCAGCTTGTCCTCCTTATATTGAAATGAAGTCAATTTAGGTGTTTGTTGAAAGGAGGGGTGAAGGAGGTAGACAGGGACCAGGCCCTTTGGACTTTGTATTGTTATGGTGAGGAGTTTGGCACTTTGATCAAGGTAGAATGGAAATCCATGGGAATATTTTAAACTTGGCGTAGGGTCTGATAACGTTAATAAAATCAATAAGGTAAGTACACAGAACGACCTGTATTAGAGGGTTGCTGCAGGAGTTCTTAGGGGGACGGTGATGTTGTCAGGTGCCCTCCGGTTGGTTCTGGCTCACAGCTCTCCTGCATGGCTCGGAGCTGCAAGGGAAGGAAACGCCACCTGTGCCATCCTCACGTTTGTTCGGTTTGAGCCCGTTGGTGCAGCCGCTGTGCCAGGCCATCTTGTTGAGGGCCTTCCTCTAGTTTCTGCCCCTCTTCTTGAGCAAGCAGGATGCCCTTCCCCAGGGATTGGTCCCTCCCGACATGTCCAACGTGTGTGAGATGGAGTCTTGCCATCCTTGCCTCTGAGAAACACTCTGGCTGTATTTCTTCCAAGACAGATTTGTTGGTTTTTTGGCAGTCTATGGCAATTTCTTTGTCAGCACCATAATTCCGATGCATCAATTCTTCTTCAGTCTTCCTTATTCAGTGCCCAACTTTCACATGCATGTGAGGTGACTGACAATACCAAGGCTTGGCCGGCTTGCGTCAGGTGCACCTTAGTCATCAAACTAACATCTTTGCTTGTCAATACTTTAAAGAGATCTTGGGTAACAGATTTACCCAATGCAATGCATTGTTCCATCTCGCGACTGCTGCTTCCATGAGTATTGACTGTGGATCCAAGCAAGACAAAATCCTTGACGACTTTAATCTGTTCTCCATTTATCATGATTGGTGTTACTTAGCCGTCTAGTTGGGAGGCTGATTTGGTTTTCTTTACATTGAGCCGAGGGAGCTCTGGTGGTGTAGTGGTTGTGCATTGAGCTGCTGAACACAAGACCTGCTGTGTGAAATCACCACCCACTTGCTGGAAAAAGATGAGGCTTTTTACTCCTGTCCAGAGTTACAGGAGAACCCCCAAAGGCAGTTTTACCCTGTCCTATAGGACCGCAGTGAGAAATGACCCAATGAGCTTGGTTTCTATTGAGTTAGAACTGGCACTGAAGGCCACAACCCTTGATCTTCATCAGCAAGTGCTTCAAGTCCTCCTCCCTTTTCACAAGCAAGAGTGTGTCATATGGCAGGTTGTTGTTGATCCTGATACCTCATTCTTCTTCATGTAACTCAGATTCCCTGATTATTTGCTCAGCATATGGTGAGGGGACACAACCCTGATGAAACGCTTCTTGATTTTAGAATGAGAGACGAGAGTGGAAAGTAATGGCATACAGGGCATGTTATGGAAGTAGTGTCTCAATGGACTTGCTAATATGGATACAAAAACATGAGAAAGAGAGGACTCCAGGGTAACTCCTAGATGCCTGGTTTGAACAGCTGGGGAGATAGTGGGGCCTTTTATTTTGGAAAGATACGGGACAAGCAGATTGAGATGCATTCAGCCTTCAAGAGAAGATAGCCTGTAGACCAGTGGTTCTCAACCTGTGGGTCATGACCCCTTTGGGGTTCAAATGACCCTTTCATAAGGGTCGCCTAAGACCATCGGAAAACACATATTTCTGATGGTCTTAGGAACTGAGACACTATCCGTCTCCAGGCAGGTCCGCCCACATGCAGATACGCCCACATACAAGTACCCAGTGTGAAGACTGTTACCCATGCTACACCATGCTTCAAGACAAAATTTCATTTGTCATTAGAAATAAGTATTTCACACTATATAATGACGTTATTTTTGTGATTAATCAGTATGCTTTATGTTCAATTTGTAACAATGTAACAATGAAAATCCATCCTGCATATCAGATATTTACATTATGATTCATATAACAGTAGCAAAATGACAGTTATGAAGTAGCAACGAAAATAACTTTATGGTTGGAGGTCAGCACAACATGAGGAACTGTATGAAAGGGTCACGGCATCAGGAAGGTTGAGAACCACTGCTGTAGACATTGGAATGTGGGAGTCTGGAGCTCAGGGGAGATTGTGAGACGAGATAACTGCTTGGGAGCTAGCGGTTTAAAGCCATGTGACTCCATGAGTTCATTCGTATATAGTTTTCAAGAACACATACCTAGTAATAGTCAATAGTCAACTAGTAACTAATAGAGTTAGATTGAAAAGTTCATCCGACTGACTCCAATCTAGTCTCTTTGTCAGACCCAGGTATCTCAACATATTTTCACATTTGGGTGGGGTTTAGCATGTTTTCGCAAGAACATTCTCCCTACATGACTTAACAACAATAACTAGTTCATGGCTAGGCTGTTATGTTCTCATTTTAGGAATGTACTAATAATTATTTTATTATAATGTTGGTTGGTAATGCTCCATTTAGAGACCATTAATAATAAGGCAGATAAAATTTGTTTTTCATTAATAATAGATAATGGGAACTAAAACAAACAAAAATGTTGTTGTCTATTTGGTTGTGTTTTCTTCAGATGTGTAATTTTAACCCATTTAATTGGTAATGATGCAACTAATTTTGTTTTGATTCCTCTCAGGATAATAAACTATTTTTAAAAGCAAGTCACAAAACTAGCAAATCATTGTTTAAGATGTTTTTTTCCCTTTCATTTATAGGAACTCTAAAATTCTATGGAGTCAGGATTATAGTCTTCTGTGACTTTTTTCTTATAAATTAATGTATGTTTTTTGGGAGGATATGTTACACTTTCTGTCATAAAAGTTAAATGTCATTCATGACACTGTCGTTTCTCCTTTTATTTTAGGCCTACTGAACTAGATGCCCTGGTATTTGGGCATTTGTATACCATTCTTACTACTACGGATGAACTTTCTGAGAAGGTGAAAAACTATAGCAACCTCCTTGCTTTCTGTAGAAGAATTGAGCAGCATTATTTTGAAGACCATGCTAGAGGTGGTATATCTGTCAGGTTATCTTAGAGTTAATTGTTAATGTAGTTATTTTTTAAAAACTGAACTTTTGAAATATGTGTTACTTGAATGTATGATAGATAGATGATGCTATTAGAGTTTTAAAACGAAGACTACTTCTTGCTTTGGAAACCTCAAGACAAATTGTATAATGCATCCTTTCTATTCTTTCTGTGCACATTAAAGTAATTCTGAATTATTCCCATTGAGATGTTGTTGCTGATATTGTGAACTGTTTGTCTCCTGGAAACATGTATGCATATACAAAAATATAATAAAGCTTAAATAAATATATATGGATGTTATATGTACTTTATTTCTTTTGAAAAGCACTCACTGTGGTGTCAACAGTGCCTCCCCAAAGGAAGTGATTAGTGCTGCATGCTCCAAGAGTAGTTTGCTGGGCACGTTGTGGCCCTGATCATGGGGGAATGTTCTTAACCAGTTTGCACTGGGAAAACGGGAATGTTTATGGTTGTTACTATTCAAAGCATTCTTCATATAGAAATGTAATTAGTTTAAAAGTTTAATCAGCGCAGCTATAATTTACAGTTAAGGGATATGTTCAGAGATCTTATTTTTTTGAGATGAGCACATTTTAATGGCATTTAACTTTTTTGTTGTAGGGCAGGAGTATACTTTTCACAGAAACACCATTGAGAATTTCGGCATAAGCATTGCTCAGTATTTTTCTCAAAAATATTAATGTTACATCTTATAAAACCAGGGATACCATTGACCGGACAGATGTAGAAATCTTTTCTTCAAGAGTATCTAGAGTGTTAATACTTATACATGTCAAAACTCAGTAGCTCATGTAGTTCTTAGAAGGACACCAGGAAGCTGTCCTTTCTAGTTTACAGGTGAGGAAATGGAGGCACAAAGGGACCATCACTTACATTTGCCCAACGTCATAGAATTCAAATCCAGGCAGTTGGGTGTCACTTGACTTTCACCCACTCCCTCTGGTTTTTAAAAAAATTTCAAAGGATTTTTAGGGTTTTTACTATATAAAGGATATTAGAGTCTTTGTTTTTTTTCCTTTTCAGACCATATGTTAGATTCTTCTAAAGTCTAAATCCCATGTACATTCTGGTACTTTGTCGTGCTCTTCTGGGTTTTCTGAACAAATTTCATACTGGGCAACCCCACATGAGGAACCCTGGTGGAACATAGGTTTAAGCACTTGGTTGTTAATGAGAGGGTTGGTGGTTTGAGCCTTCTAACCACTCCATGGGAGAAAGATGAGACTGTGCTTCCTTGAAGATTGACAACCCTGGAAAGCCTACCTATGTAGCCTTCTATCCTGCCCTATGGGGTTGCTAGAATGGGTCAGAATCGACCGGATGGCAGTGGGTTTGGATCATTATTAAAATGAGACCCCTGGTGCCTGGTTTTTTAAATGGTCTTTTTGGTGATAGGTTAATTTACATATTTTTGTACATTTGTTTTGTGCATAATGATTTTTTTCTTTGAATGTTACCATCGCATTCATTTTATTGTACAAGCACCATTTGCTTGTGTGTTTGCACCTCAATCTATAAGGTAGTGTAGTGGTTACAGGTGGGGCTGCTAAGTAGTCAGTGTTTGGAAACCACCAGAGGCCAGGAGGGAGGAAGACATGGCGTTCTCCTCCTGTAAAGAGTTAGGGTCTCGGAAACCCACGGGGGCAGTTCTACCCTGTCCTGTAGGGTCACCATAAGTTGGCATCGACTCGATGGCAGTGAGTTTGGTTTTGAGTTTCAAGACCATCTATGGACAGGAGTCCCCTGGGGGCACAAACACTGAGCCCTCCCCTATTAGCCGACAGGGTGGCATTTTGGACCCACCCAGAGACACTTCAGGAGACGCCTGCCCCCTGCTTCCAAAGAGCAGTTCAGCTCCGCACACACGGGTTTGCCACGTGTCGGCATGAACTCGACGGTAGCTGACCGCTGTCCACGCATTACTCGGGAGCAAGCTCGTTTCTCCCAGTGTTGAGCTGCATCCCCATTGAACCAGTGTGCATTCTTTTGACAATGGAGACCTTGACACTCAGAGTGATTCGAATTCCCTTTCTATTGGGTTCCAGAAGCAGCCAGTCACAGGAACTGAATAGGATCACTGAAAGGCCAGCGGTGCTGCTCCCATTTATTCGGCTTCCTCGCAGGACTTTGTTGCCAGTCCATGTTTGCATTCTGCTTCTGGGTCCGCTACCTGGCAGTACGAGTTAGTCGTTCACATCCACACTCGTGAGGGTGAGTCAAAAAAGCTCTGCTACAACATCGTTGGAACCTATGTTGTTGAAGAGAAATAGCTACATGCGAAGCTATTGTTTCTCGACTTATCTTCCATCCAGGTGATGTTTCTGTCTTTCTCACACTTCCTTAAAGAACTCTGTGCTCTTGGCTTGATACGATGCTCATGTTGGCATCCCCCAGGGACTCAGATCATGTTCCTTTGCCGTGTTTTCAGTTTTAGGAGCAAACAGAGGTCCCCAGGGAAAAGGTCAGGACTGAAGGGTGGATGGGGTAATGTTTCCCAGTGAAATTCCTGTAAAGTGGCTCTTGCTACAATGAGCAGGTTCGCTGACATGATTGATGTAAAGCAAAGGCGTTGTCAGTGGCTTACAGGGAACTGAAGAAACGCCGCCCACCCCTGGGCTCTCGGGAGTGAGACCACAGGTAAAGGTCACAAATGCTACTTGCTCCTCTGTGATTGTGCCCTGCTTTCCGAACAAAACCCAAACAGATCCTGATGATCTTTGGATCCATTTAGCCCCATATTGTAATTTTTCCCTGTTGTTCTTATTTTGTATCTTTCCATTGAGCCAGGGATCACACACTTGATTCAGAAGCCAGACGTTTAATGAACAGACCAGGTATTAGACATTAGGGGAATGATGGAGTCGAAACTGGACAAGGCAGTCTCTTCTCCAAAGAAGGCATGAAAATCTAAAAACCTTGCCGTTTGGCTGCAGCTGGTCAGTGGTTAGAAGTCACCAGCTGCTTTCTGGGGAGGAGAGGTGGCGCCGGGCTTCCTTAAAGAACGCATAGATTTGAGTTCTACTCCGCCCTGGAGGGTCTCTGTGAGCCAGAATCCACTTCATGGCAAGTGGTTTGGTTTTTGGTTAAACTCTCACGTGACCAATATTACAACGTAGAAAATGTGGGTAAGAATTCTGTGTTCCTCGTTTATTATTCATTCATCCTATTTAAATGTATGCCAAATGAGTTCGTGGTTTCTTTTGTCTAAGGATAACTTAAAACTCAGTGTGGGGAGGGAGAACACGGCGCCCTGGCATCGAGTGGCGGCTGTCGCAGAGATGGGCTTAATGAACCCTCCGGATCAGCTGGAGCACCGCGCACGCTTCGTTTGCTATGGTCTCTTCCCGCACAGGCGGAGCGGGGCTCGGCCGCCCTCACCGGTTATCACCCACTTGTTCCATAGTGCTCAAGTTTTCTACGTTAGTCAGGTTGGAAGATTTGTGGTATTAATCACGGCTGAAGTTGTTATTTATCACCTGCTGGGTGAGAAATAATAATTTTGGCACTAGTGGGGCAGCAGGCCAGAGGTACCAAATTAAGTAAAACATCTAAACACTAGCAAGGATCATTTCTCTGATTAATGAATTGTTACACAGAAAAAGCGCGACTCATTATCTGGTCTTACCAATACAAAGTGGGGCATGTTTCAGAAAAGGAAGAAAGAAAATGTGCCAGCTTGCTCGGACCAATTTTTCTGTTTATTTCGTTTCTTTCTCTCCCCATGTCCACCTCCCTCCCTCTCGTTCTAGATGGTCAACAGGTTTCTGATGCGGTCATTATTTTTGGTTGTTGGCCACAAACAAACATGGACAAACTATAATTTAGTGTCACATCAGAAAATATTTCTGACAATTGAAATGGCGCATTTGTAGCCTTAAGAAATGAAAGTGATTTGATAGGTAATAAGAAAATTGCCTTTACAATATTGAATTACCGCCTCATTTGTGTATATAGAATTTATATGGTGTAGTGAGAGTCCCTGGGTTTACTTTTTCCTACCTTGAACCGAATACCATTGCTTAAGGTTTTATTTTAGAAACTTTAATTTCTGTTGTTTGTTTATTCTTTGATCATTCCAACTAAGAAAAGCTCATTTTCCTTCTGATTGCCGTAGTGGTTTCTACCTTTTGTAATGTTATCTATGAGCTTCTGTTTTCAGTCATGACGGGCATAATAGGACTTGGATTTAGCTTCTTGCCTTAAGCACCAAAAAAGTCTAGACAAAATGCGAGAAACAATGGTTTTCATTCATGGGCAGCAGTTGGCTCAGGACAGTGATCCCTGTATGAAGGGAGACCAAGTGAGTGCATCTCGTACCCCAGCTGCTGCTCAGAGAGCCGTATAGCCTGCAGCAAGCACGCAAGAGAGGAACCGACCAGACAGCCAGTGCTCCTCTGGATTGAGGAGCCGAGAATTCCCGATCAGAGACGAGCAAGGAGGCTAGACTTCATGGAGCTAGAGAGGAGAGAACTAAGAAGGATGATAGAGAACTGGAGATCTATAGACAGTTCTGCTAGCCTTCAACTGAGTATTGATCAATACATGCATATGAAGAGACCGAGGAGGCTTGGAAAAGCAGGAAAAAAATGCAGATGAATCTTGGGAGCTCCTGAGAAACTGGGAATAGTTTATGTCCCTCCAATTAGTACAAAAACCTCTGGATGTATTTGGGACAAGTGGATTTCTCAGGAGGATGTTATCTTGATATTAGGGCCAAATTATAAAAAGGGGAAAAAACCAACCAGTTCTCATCAGTTATAACTCACAATGGGCCCATGTGTTTCAGAGTACAGCTGCTTCATAGAGGTTTCAAAGCTGTGAATGTTCAGTCAATTCTGACATAGAGTGGCCCTATAGGAGAGGGTGGAACTGCCCCTCGGTTTCAGAGTCTATAAAACTCTTTATGGGAGTATGAAGTCGTGTCCTTCTGCATAGCCACTGGCGGCTTCAAACTATTGACCTTCTGGTTAGCAGCGCAGTGTGTTAGCACTGTGCCATCAGGACTCTTGCTTCAAAAGCGGATAACCAGGACTCTTTTGAATGCTTCTGGGCAAGTGTGAATTGCCAAACTTTCAGTGATCGGTTGAACACGAAACCATTTGCTCCATCCAGGGACTCTCTCTGTGGTGCCCACTGACGTCTAGACCACCGGTTCTCAAATGCATTTGTCCTACTGCCTCCGTTTCAGAGAGGAAAACAACTGGTCAGTGCCCCTGGCAATTACAAGCATTTGAACCACAGCCTGTAATCCAGGATAAAGGAAAAGAATCGGTCTGCAGCCCCTGGGTGGGGCTATCCAGTGCTCCCCTGGGGGCAGAATCGCCCACTTTGGGGAACACTGATCTAGACCAGGGGTTGGCAAACTTTTGAGATGGAAAAGCCAGTCCTGTGCCTCAAAATTTAAAAATTATTCGAGAGCCATAGATCTATTTTTTACAAACAAATGCAATCACCACCATTGTTTACATAATATCCTGTAAATGGAACTGTGATCGTTTTATTTTCATTTTCGCTCTTACTTCAGAGCCACGCGTGTGTACCGAGGGAGCCACATATGGCTTGAGGGCTGAAATTTGCTGGCCTCTGCTTTAGCCTAAAGGCTGTTTGGACCTGCCTAAGAAAGCTTAATGGCAAGTTTAAAAAACAAAACAAAACAAACAACCCCTCCAAACATTGCCATCAGGTGAACTCTGACCCAGAGTGATCCTATGGGGCAGAGTAGAACGGCCCCTGTAGATTTTTAAGACTATAATTCTTTTTTTTTAAATCACTTTATTGGGGACTCTTACAGCTCTTACAACATTTCATACATCATTTGTATCAAGCACATTTGTACATATGTTGCCATCATCATTTTCTAAACACTTACTTTCTATTTGAGCCCTTGGCGTCAGCTACTCTTTTTCTCTCCCTCCCGCATCTCCCATCCTCATGACCCCTTGATGAATTATAAATTATTGTTTTTATATCTTCCACTGATGGCTGTCTCCCGTCATCCATGTTTCTGTTGTTCATTCCCAGGGTGGGGGTGAGGGATTATGTGTTGATCATTGAGATAGGTTCCCCCTTCGTCCCCTCCCCCCCCCCCCTCATTCTCCCTACCCTCCTTGTATCGCTCCCTACTCCCATTTCTTCTCCTGAGGGGTTTAGCTGACCTGGATTCCATGTGTCATGAGCCCCCTTTTTAAAAATCATTTTATTCGGGGCTCATACAGTTCTTATCACAATACATACATACACTGTGCCAAGCACATTTGTTGCCATCATCATTTTCAAAATATTTTCTTTCTACTTGAGCCCTTGGTATCAGCTCCTCGTGTTGTGTCATGAGCTCTTATCTGTACCTGTGTATGTGCTCTGGTCTAGCCCGCAGTGCATGGCAGGACTGGGGTCATGATAGTGGTGGTCTCAGCCTCAAAGAACCAGAGGATTATTGTGTGTTTCATCGGAGCTATACTGCGCCCTGATTGACCCATCCCTTCCTTGTGACCCTTCTGTGAGGAGATGCCCCGTTGTCTACAGATGGGTTTTGGGTCTCTGCTTTGAACCCCCTTCTTCTCAACAATATGGGGTTTTTTGGGTTTGTTTTGGGTTTCTGGTGCCTCTTACCCAAATCTGTCGACACCTCATCATCACACAGGCTAGTGTGCTTCTTCCATGTGGGCTCGTTGCTTCTTTGGTAGATGGTCTCTTGTTTATCTTCAAGCCTTTAAGACCGCAGATGCTATATCTTTTGATAGTTGGGAACCATCAGCTTTCTTTACCACATTTGCTTAAGGACCCATTTGTCTTCAGTGATCATGTTGGGAGGGTGAGCATCACAGAATGCTAGGTTGTTAGAACAAAGTGTTCTTGCGTTGAGGGAGGGCTTGATTAGAAGCCCAAAATCTGTCCACTTCCTCAATGTATTGCCATATAAATATATGTACATAGGCTAATACCTCTATTTTTATCAATTAATTTATTTACATAAGTGCACACCTATGCGTATACCTCTGTCATAGTTTTGCTTTCTAAATCTTTCCCCGTTTCCTTTTACCTTCCTCCTGCCCCACCATCACGCTTGCTCTTCTTCTGCCTCAGTAATTCCTCTCAGCTAGATTGCTGTTGCTCCAGCACCACGGGGATCTCTAAGTCCTCCTCGCTGTTGCTTTTAATTCCCTAGTTGTTCCCCTGTCTATGGCATTGTTTGCTCACCGCTCCTTCCTCCC